CACAGAGGCGGAAAGGGATCTTGGAGTCATTATTGACTCCAAGACGAACATGAGCCACCAATGCCAGACCACAGCCAGCAAGGCCAGCCATACCTTGTCATGCATCCAAAGGTGCATCTCAAGCCAGTCCAGAGAGGTGATACTTCCCTTCTATGCGACTTTGGTTAAGCTGCAGTTGGAGTACTGTGTCCAGTACTAGGCGCTGCACTTCAAAAGGGATGTGACCAACCTGCAGAGGGTTCAGAGGAGGGCCACCCGCTTGGTGAGAGGGCAGCAGGAGAGGCCCTATGAGGAGAGACTGAAGGACCTGAACCTGTTCAGCCTCAGCAAGAGGAGGCTGAGGGGGACCTGGTGGCTGCCTTCAAACTCATCAGGGGAAATCAACAGCAAATAAGTAGAGCCCTTTTCTCCCCAGCACCACCTGGGGTGACAAGGAACAATGGTAATAAGCTGATGGAGCATAGGTTTAGGTTAGAGATCAGAAGGCAATATTTTTACAGTTAGGGTGGCCAAAATCTGGAACCAGCTTTCCAGGCCAGTGGTCCTCACCCCTACCTTGGGCAAATTCAAGAGGAGGTTGGATGATCACCTGTCTGGGGTCTTGTGAACCCAGCATTCATTCCTGCCTGTGGCAGGGGGTCAGGCTAGATGATCTGTTCAGGTCCCTCCTGACCCTAACTACTATGAACCTAGAGACTGCTATTTTGCGTGTTTACATCAGTCCTACCGGGGGTGCGATCATCTACCTATAAGTGTACATAGGTTGTTACAAAATTAAATTTGTTACCAAATTATGTCTATAAGCCTTGAGTTCAATAGTATTATTGCATAAGTTAACTGAGTTATGAGTTAAACCTTAGAATAGATAGCAATGTATGTGTACAAATACAAATATATATACATATGTATGTAAATATCTGAATATAAATTAGTGTGTGTGGGAGGGGGGCCGGTACATAATAAATATTGTAAATAGTTACCTACTCTGTTGGAGTGCTGTTACAGGAGGTATCCCCGTACTGGGATCCTGAGGGTCCTCGTTAGTTCCTTTACGCTAATAGGACGGGCCTAGCTGGTGCCCCCAGGGTTCCACAAATTGCCACGGGCAGTGGTTAGCACCCTGCAGCGGGGTGTTATAGAAGAAAGTGGGATCTTGCTCTTCTTTCACATGCATTTTCCAAATCACCCCCAGACCACAGGGATTTGATACCTGAATAAAATAATGACCTGTGGTACCATTTTGTATGTGTGTGCACACATAGCAAGAAAAAGCAATAAAGAAAGTAATTTGGTTCCTAGTTTTATAAGTGCCCTCAGCTTTTAGCACTTACCACATAAGGCTCAGAACGGGGAGAAACATCTGTTCTTATCAGGAAGTACCACCACTTCCCCTGAAGACTTCAAAACATGCGCTTCACTGGCATCCTATTCAGGGGCTAGTTAAACCTCTTCTTTCTCTCAACTACATGTCTAGTAAGAGACCTCATTAATTTAGGGAGCAGAATATAAACTCAGTCCCCCAGAATGACAAGAGGAATCACACCACCATTCATATCTCTCTGGGTATCATGTGCCTTTCTAGACCCCCAACATTAATATTGCTGACCCTGCCAGGATGATAATCAGTCAGACCTGGAAGCATCATGGAGAAATAGATATTCAACTTCCTGTTAATGAAGTTTTAGGCCTGGTCTAGATGGCAAAGATGAGGCATATATCCCATCATTAGTCCCTATACAATTCAGGAACCTCACTGTAACAAGTGGGTGTCCTGGGGCCAGTCTCATTGTTGGCCCACCCACTTGTCTCAGGGCTAGCCAACTGCCTACCTTGCCTTCCACACTTTTGATTATATTAATTAGAAGTTGATAACAAAGCAGCAGACTGCACATTTACTTGCCCTGATGCCAAGGGCCTATACACTGCTTCAAACCTTCCCTTACATAACGTCCCATGCCTCGCAGATGGCATCCGTGGCCTAGTACCCAGCCTAGAAGCCCTTGCCCTCACACTGGGACCTGCACCCCATGGGACTCTCACTCCGATGCCCTCACACTGGGCTCTCAATCAATCAAGGCTCCCAGCCCCTCCCTTTTCCTCAGGCTCCCTGCCCAGCTCAGGACCCCCGTACCGGGGCTTCATCCTGGGCCTCAATCCCTTTAATCCCCTTGCCCCAGGAACTCACACCTAGGGCCCCACTCTCCTGGAGCCTCACACTCGGCTCCTTTATACAACTCAGGCCTCACTGCAAGGCTGAGCCTTTGCTTTGTCTTTGGGGTGTGCTCCCCTAGCCTTTCCCCTCCATGGGATAACCCACAAGGCAGTGGGGGCTGAGGCTTTCTGGCACCCCATACTCACCCTTCACTGCAGATGCACAGGTGTGGCATTTCCTGAGGACTGCCCCACCACCAGCAGTCCCACCACACCATCCAACCCCAACACGGTGTAGTTTTAGGTTATGCCCCAGGATCAGAGCTTCCACCATCCCCATAGCAGCTTCCCTGTACCTCCAAGATGTTATGAGCAGCAACTCCAGCCACATGATACTCTCTCCTTAACTGATTACAGCAGACTGCTGGCTACACTGCTCAGAGCCCTGTTATAATAAACAGCTGGGCCCTGTTCCCAATCAGGTAATTGTGCCTGATTAGGAGTGCAGTCACCTGCAAGCTGCTTGGCTGTTTGCTCATGCTCCTTTGAGTAACAGAGCACACCCTGTTCTCTGTTACACTCACTCATGTATCCTGGTCAATAACTGCCTTTGTATTGGCCACTGAAGGGCTATGCAAAACAGCACCATTTTGTTTCAACTTTTATTTTGCTGTTTCGAAGGGACAGTGCTTCGTTTGGACGTTCTGTTTTGTTTTGTCAAAACTATTTCACTATTTTGATGTGGTTTGAGGTTTCACCTATAGGCTATAATGGAGAATCACAAAAATGCCTATAACTTTGTCATTTCTTACCTGATTCAAATGAAATCAG